GAAACAAAGCTCATATAATTATACTATTTGTTGTCAGTCCCAGATTGATATGTTCTGAAACATGTGGTTGATTTCAACCAAATCTGACAGAGGGGAGATGTCTCAAGAGTAATGATGTTCCTAAGAGGTGGTTGTTTTGTGTGTTGTTTTTTTTGTTTTGTTTTTAAATCAATGATTATGCAAAGAAGAAGGAGTTCAGAGTTAAAATTTGAGGTAAGAAACACAGAAGAGTTTGATTAATAGCTGAATCCAGAAAGACATGGGGAGGCTAAAGCAGGGAACATTATCAGTATTAGATAATGTTTCCATGTTATTTCTGAGGTAGGGGTCTAATATGTTCATAATCTGAAATCTGAAGCACCTCCAGCTCCAAACCTTCACTGTAACCTTAGCTTCGACCCTACCATTACATACTTGTGACTTCAATTCCTGTCCATAAACTGAATATACAGATATTCTGTGTTCAGTGTGCTATGCTGCATAGGATTTGGGAAAGCAACCAAGCAGAAATCATTTACAACTCTTCATGTAACACTTTAGCTTTTTTCTTACTGTTTTCTTACTTTGCATCTAGAGAGTTTTACTGTTCTGATCCCGTGCATGGTACTGTAGGAGATCACACTATAGGGAAAAAGCGCCCCCCCCCCCCCAGTCCTTCCCTATGGCAAACCCATGTTTCAATGATTGGCAGCTGCTTCCAGGGCAGATGCTGGGAGACATGCATGGCAACCCTGTTAGCATCGAGGAAACAGAGCATTGCAATGGGTGTTTTCTTTGTAGGCTGCTAAAATTTGGGTGGCTAGGCAGGAGCTTGTGGTTTGGTAATTCTAAAACTGTTTGAAAGACTAGTAATTTAATCTGGGACCTTACAAAGATCTCCCCAACTGAATCTTGTTGGCAATTCCTAGATGAGAAAGGCAGTTCGGCTGAGCTGGGTAAGAAGGTGGCAGTTACCTTCGTGCCTGGCTGCCAGGCACAGTCCTGCCATAGAAGCTTCTGTCAGTCACAGCCCTCTGACTGGACACCAGCTGAAGCCTGCAGGCAATTGCTGCCTGCTGTTTTGGTCAGGTGTAGTAAATTCTAAAAAGTGGGCCAGGGCTTGTGTGCAGTCCAGCTCTGCAGCATAAATTAGTACTTTGTACGGAGGCCTTGAATCTATTATAGGTGCAGGAATGCACGTATATTAGCTATTCAGCCATAATAAAGTTTTGCTATAGGAGTTTTTATATTTCCAGGTATATGCCATTTGTCAATTTAAAGGTTTAATGCTCTTGTGTATGTGCTGTATTGCTAGAACCCCTTTATAAAAAAAAAAGTGGTTAGAAAGCTGGAGCACAGGGAGCAGCTCCTTTAAAACTTGTCTGGACAAGATTTTTGGAAGAAAAAGAAGCTGTCTTTAAAAAAAAAAATAACGTAGCCCTACCTACATGTTTCCGCTGATATCCTGATTATTTTCTTCACATTGGCCTGAGTTAACTCTGCCCCCTACAGCATTCAGCCCCCGTTGGTACAGAAAATGGTATAGAAAATGGGAAGTTTCAGGAGTTTCTCTGAGCCTTGATGTTTAGATGGGCAGCGAATTAGAGAAAATTGTAGCGTGAACCACAATAAAGTAAAATCATGTTATGATATGCATGACTTGCATCTATTGCTAATGATGTAAGTATGATGTTTGTAATTTCAGTCACCCTTGCTGCTGTAGTCATCCGGCTATGGAAGCAAAGGGCCTTGACAGGAGCAGGTGTTTGGGTAATTCTGAAAATTGCATGGAAGAGAAAGACCGCAGTTTAATCCAGCTCATACAGCCGATTGAAATTGCTGACCTACTACAGACCTGATTGAATTTTAATGAGCGGAATTATCTCTGAATTAAGCTGGTTGGTATGCTTCTAGTTGTGGTTTGAACAAACTTGTTTTTTTGCATAGGTCCAGACTGGAAATAAACTGGAAGGGAAAATCTGGTAAACAGCTCTTTAACTCTTTTCAAATTAGATTAATGGCCACGTATTCACTAGGGACTAACATTGTATTCTTAGCTTGTTACTTTGCCTGAATAAAATTTTCATGAAAACACAAAAATTTATAGTTATTAGACTACATTTTCCCACTCAAAATTTTTCCTTCTTGGGATTAGGAAGCAACAGAGGCTTTGTAAGCATAGCTTGCTCCTATGATTTTAATAGACTTGTTCTGGGCTTCTTTTTTTCTTTTTCTCTCTTTCTCTCTCCTTGTTAATGAGAATAGGACTGGGGTAATATTAATGTTGGCAGCAGTAGTAGTAGAAAGGCACATGCAGCACAAAGAACGTGTTTGGAAAGATGAGCAAACCCACTTTATAACCTAGAGGTTAAAAGCAACTTCAGCACTCCATTTTGTGACTGCTCTGGATAGGCAGAAAGAAGTTCGTCTGGCAGATGAGAAGGCTGCTGGTAGTGTAGCTAGGGAAGGTAAGATAAACTAACCCTACAAAAAAGCTAAGTCTATGTTTAAAAAAAATAAATCCAAACGCAACATATGTGGAGGAATGGGACAACATATTGTACTGAAGTACAGTGGCATATTGATTCTGGTCTGTCATAGTATTAAGGGATGGGGAGGAAAGCAGGTGGCAACTGCAGAGTACTACTAAAAACTTTTTTGTTTTAAATATTTGCAAGCAGCATAAACAAGAAAGCCCAGAGGAATAAGGAAAAGGTTGAAGTGCTTTATACACTGCTATAGAAACAATGTGAAACTTCTCATGCAAAACCAGCATAAAGCAGGCTGTCCTTATTTACAGCACATGCCAACTTTTTCTAAGAACATCAACCTGATTGTATATTTGAAGAAACTCAGAGGCTTTTTCTTTTCTTTTTTGGCTGAATGTTTACATGTATTGCAGTCCTTGTGTAGTAGGTGCATCTGTGAGCATATACAATTCATAAATAGGCATCTGCAGCTAAAGTTCAGTTCAGCAGGCTTTTAATCAAGTTATTCTGTGTGAGCTTAAAACTACTGCAGCTGTGATATGCCATACATCAAATCTCAGTGCCTTCAGGTGTGTCTTGCATGCAGTAGAGTCACATGGTCCTAATTTTTGCTCCAGGTGTTATGAGAGCATATTGACGATCTTGGAAATGCCTGGATTTACTCTACTAACGGAAGAAATTAGAAAGTTATTAGAAAGCGAGCTGCAAGTCCCTTATACTGGTGAGTAAAAATTATTTGCATATAACATTGATGGCTCTGGTTGTTGCTATTTTGTTACACTTTTTTTTGGTAGTAGTAGTATTTAGGTAGGTATTATGAAATTGCCTTTTTAGTTTTAGAGGAAAATGCTCTACTTTATGTTCATACCAAACCCCTGCTACTGTTCTGTTTCTTTTTCTAGCATTTCATGATACTAGTATTACCTGTTAATAATAAACCTCAATTATGAGGTGTGATGAGAGTTTTGCCTTTATCCTTAGAATTTTGAAAGGAAAAACTTCATTATCTGTCTGGTTCCTGAATGATATTTTGCAGTAATACACCTTGAGCCCAATCATAAATATATTTTAAATCTGCCTTTTGATCAGACGGAAGCTCACCCCAGATCAAGTGGTTAGTAGAGAGCTCTTCTACAATGTTCTCACCAACTAGTCTGAATGAAGTGTTTTACCATTCAAAGGCTACTTTCCGTTAACTGGATTCAAGTGTAGATTTTTAGTTCAATATCGCTTTATCTGAACAGCTACATCAGTTTGGTTCTCTGGCAACCTACAAATTGTCTGCCAGCAAATATTCACCAGGAGCTGAAATGCTGTTCTGAGCTCCAATAATTATTTCTTGGTGCTATGTGAGAAAGTTTTCTTGTCTGTGCCCAATATAGCTTTGCAGAGTGTGTGGGCAATTAGCGAGGTGGCTTTTCATAGCGTGAAAAAGGAAAGTCCTTTTTTTCTGCTGAAGCAAGTTTGAGCTAGATAGCAACACATACCAACTTCTACTAAAAGAGCCGGCAGTGGACTACAGCACCCCCCCCAAAACGTCTTTTATTTAATGAGACAGGTAGTAGGGTGTCAGGCACCTCCGGGAGCGGGCACTCCGGCGATGTTGTCCAGCCGGGGCCACAGAAGCGCTCTGATTTCTGAGGTCTGGCGCTGGCTGAGCCGCTGCGGAGGGCGAGGGCTTCCAGGCAGGACCCGCGCCCGGAGCCGGCCCGGGGGCTCCTGCCCGCCCCGAGCCCGGCTCCGGCCAACCGGGCCGGGGCTTTCGCCTCCCGGCCGGGCGAGACGCGCTCCTGCGGGCCCCGGGGGAAGGACCGGCAGCTCGGTCGGCTTACGCCTCGGAGCCCCGGGAGCCCCTGCCCGGGGA